TTAATGCTCCTGTATCATGGGTGATACATATTATTATTATAATTATTACATTCCTTGATAATAAGAAATATCACTTCGACGTTGTTTGCAGGCCATCATAAAGTCGTCCATTTTTTGTTTCTCTCTGTCGCTCTTGCGTTTATTGTTAAATTTATTTTATTTTTTAAGTATTCTCATTTGTTTTAAACAAAATCCGTCTTAAATATTTTGTTTTCGTATTTTTAGACCAAATTGTACAGTTATCATCAGGCTGCGTCTACATATTCAAATTCCTGACGTCTAGGTAGAGGTGTGTGTGTGCGCATATATAAATATATACATATGCACAAAATATTTATATATAAATAAATATATATCCATTTAACTGAACCAACCTGAAAACTGACCGCACGACAAAATTCTGAAGAACGTAATTTTTCAACAATTTTTTCATTGTCTTTTATTTGCTATATATATGTATACATACATATATATGCATATCTATTTATACTCGTTCAGAGAACGACAACAAAAAGAGCATATTGGTTTTAGTGCAATGCCTTTCTGGCTGTTTAGCTAAAAACCGAAAATTAACTATAGCTTGTCGTAGGTGCATGTATAGAGAGGATCAGGCGTTGCCCAAAATAGGAATATATATGTTTGTATTAGAAGTAAAAGTTTGGAATTTCATATATGTATGTCACAGCCACAGTCCACAAATGTCATCCATAGATTTGTGCGTTTTACTTTCTCTTTAGATTGTCAAATTCTAATAGACATAAATATATACACGTATATATACATATGTTAAATAAACCGCGTCTCAGTTTATATATATTATATACAATACAATACATATACATATGTACATTCATATCCATCTCATGTTATATATGTATGTAAGTTCGATCTTATAGGTATTTATATTTGAGTGTAGTGTATATTATATCGTTCATCCATTGTAGTACTGTACATCCAAATAAACAATGGGCTTGACAGTTGTATTATTAGAAATAATAAGTTTTGCCGCAGGATTTATGTAGACCAGCCTAACTGCGCATTGAGATATCATTTTTGGGTGTATTCCAAAAATCTGACAAATTCATCTTTTTTTAAGTAAAAGTTGAACTTTACAACTTTACATACTTCGAAAATTCTGAACGAGCATTAAGCAGTCGATGATGCCCAACTTGAAAGTTTTTACTTTGCTTTCTATTGACAGTTTTGACATGGGAATTTTTTTAGATGCATTTATATATGTATGTATATGCTATATGTATATAATATATATACTATATATAACACACGCGCGTATAACAAAAATATTTAGCCTAAATCTAAAATAAAATAAAAAACTTAGTCAAATTTATATGTATTATGCAAACAACAAATGCTGTGAATGTTTTTAACAATTTTTAGTGCGATTTTCGTATTATTTTTAAGTTTATTAGTTTAACAGTTTATGCATTAATTAATTCTAAATTAGATTTTGATTTGTTTTGGTTTTTCATATATATATATTTTTTTTCAGTTATTCTGTTTTTTGATTTATGGTTATATAAGTGCAGCCAAACACTTGTTTCAAATATTTAGATTAAATGCAACATTGTTTACCATTAAAACTTTCGAACTTGCAACTGAATTTTTATAGTTGACGGCGGTTTGAATGCGAATGCGTTTCTTTTTATTGCTTCAGATTTTGTTTATATTGACGAACGAAATTTGTGATTTTCTTGCTTTTTCTTTCTTTTTTTTTCTTTTTACACGCCTTTTAGAAATTAAAATAAATAAATATATTTTTGGGTTTSAGCGAATTTTAACAACACAATTTAAATCGAAGCGAAACCGTCGAAATATCTCGCGACTGCTGCGGCGGCTGTTGCTGCTGCTGCTGTTGCTGGTGCTGCTGCTTCGAGGCACAGGCACTGCCACAGACTGACTGACTGCGACTACATAGAGGCAAGAGTGAAGGCAATGCCATCGCCAGTGGTTGCCCCAACACAAACAAAAACAAAAGGAGCTCTGCCATTGTTCGCTTTAGATTTAGCTTTAGCCCGCCGGCGTTGATTTGCGAGCGCACAAAGTTTTCTGCGGCTCGCAACATAAACATAATTGCGGGCGTGCTAGGAAGAGAGCCACACACACACGCACGCGAGCGAAGACATATGTGTGTACATTAGGCAGGGGTATATAAATAAATTTACATATATAACATATGGATGTATATATATATAGCAACCGTATCGTGAAAGCCAAGCAGTGCATGGCCACCTGCAGCAGGCGCTACTTGGCTAGCTGGCAGGCGACCTGGCTGATTGTCTAACTAGTTCAGTGGACGAAGGGCTAGCCAAATAGCTGACTGGCATCATGTGTAGCTGAATGGCTGGCTTGCTGTGTGTCTGGCTGAATAGCTGGGTGAATGGCTGGCTGCATGACTTGCAGATTTACTGGTCTAGGCGGCTAGTTGAAAGCTAACTGACTGTAGAGGCAACTAAAGGTCTACTGAGACTAGCTGAATTATTGGGAGAGTACCTGAATTATGAAAAATTTACGGAATTATTGAGAGACTGTTGAATTACTGATAAAATGGATAAATTGCTGATAGACTAGCTTAATTGCTGAGATTGGCTAAAAGGCTGTAAAATTGGCTGAAGTACTGAATGACTGAATTGTTGAGATATTGGCTGAATTGTGTGAGATTGGCTGATAGATTAGCAAAATTATTAAGCGAACTGAACTATTGAAAGACTGGCTGATTGGCTAGCTTTAGGCTAGTTGGCTGATTGAATGTCTAAAAGTAATGCTGAGTGCTTATAGCTGAATTGTTCAGCCCTCTGAATGATTAAGTAGCTAGTTGTCTAACTAACTCGCTGAATATGGAGCTGAATGGATAAGCATACTAGATAGCTGACCAGAGGCCGACTGCCTGTTAGACTGTATGGCTGGTCTATGACTGAACTGGACAGAACGACCAAGTGGGCAGCTGGCTAGCTGAATTGCTGTATAGCAAGCGAATCCCCAAGTCGCGGTCGCGCAGCTCTGCGTCATCGTTTTTTAATTGCGCCATTAAATCAGAAAAAAAGAGCCAGCAGGCACACTCTATTCAGCAATATCTTTGTGTGTGAGTGTGTGCGTGCGTAAAATTAGAAATTAATGTATTTAGGCATCTTCGCTCTTTTTATAATGCTGCAGAGCCATGGGCAGCTATTTATATAATATATGTATGTGTACAAATCGTACAGCCTGCCAGTCAGCCAGCCAATATAGCATGCCAACACACACGCTCACTCGCTCGCATTCGCCATTAAACGTTGACAACGACTTTATGAATGCTATTCGTTCTTCTTATATTCGTTTCGTTTTTTCTGTTTATTTTTTCTTGGGTTTTTTGGCATACCATTTAGCGCATCATTCAAAAGCCAAATGTGGATGACGTCGTGCCACTTGTTCGTGCTTATTTGGCTCCGATTCTATTGCTTTCTGTCTGTGATGCGCAGTGCGCCCAAATCTAAATTCAATTCGCTGAGCAAATCATTTGGAGCAGCGCCTTGAAGTGTCAGCTGGGCTATCACCTGTTGAGCCTCTGGGCACTTAAAGCAGGCATTGCGAATGGCCAAAATGCTCCACTCGCGCATCACTAGAATGATAAAAAGAGAAGCGTTTATTTCATTTCCCATTGACTCAATACTCCCTCCCACATCACTTACAAGGATTACGCGCATCCATGACTGTGCATTCGAGCAGCGCTGGCAGCAGCTGAGTATCGAGGCAGTATCCCCTATTGGCCACGTTCTCATACAACAAATTGGCTGTGCAGCGAACGAGCAAGGTTTTCAACTCAAAGGAGACTCTCGCCTCGTAGTCCGCATCGATGTTGGAGCTGAGCGCCACTTCCTCCAGTTTAGTCATGGGCTTATCCAGGCAGCTATCCGGCTCCTTACCAGCTGCAATTACGCAGCGTAGCAGGCTGCTCACGTTAATGAACAGCGACTGATCGGCAGCATATGTTTTGGCATATTTTTCCGAGCCGCTGGCGCTTGCTATGATACGTAGCAGAGTGTGCACTTCGCGTGGATGCAGCTGGTGCCTCAGCTTAATTGTTTCACGTAATATACAATCGGATTTCAAGCGGAACTCCTTGGCAAAGAATTGCAGCAATATGTTGTTAATTTCACCATTTGGACTGTCCTCACGCAGATAATGGGCGACATAGTCAAGAAAGGTTATACGCTCCTCGACAGACTTCAGTCGTTGATAGCACTGCACACAGCTTCGCCCATCTTTTACAATAAACTGTTCCATCAAGAAGTGCAAATATTCAAAATTATAGTCCGTTTGCGTTTCAATGATGGCCTGCCACAGCTTGACACACGTCTCAAATACCAGCTGATCCCCAGGCAAACGTGCGCCCATATATATATTATACATAATCATAAGCAGCACATTATTCGAGCTGCCCAATGGAGCTATCGCTGCTTGCTCGGCAATTTGGTGTCCATGTGCTTGCCAAATTGCTGTCTGGGACTCTTCATTATTAACTACGCTATTGGCCAGTACCTGTAATGTCAATATATGCAGTGTGCGTTGTTCTGTTCGCATAATTGGGTTAAATACAACATCTCTAACGAATCTCGCAAATTCTGCATTTTTTGCCAATGTTCGTTGACTTTCCGGACTTTGGGTCAGTAGCAAACGCAAGTTCTTTAATAGCGTCGTAATTTCAGCTACATTTTCAGCTATGTTTAATTTCAATATTTGCTCCAGTACTTCGCTGGTTTCCTTATGCTATAAAAAACATTAAATCGGTTAAATAAATAAGCAAATCAAAATATTTATTGTTTACCGGCTCCACATGTGCCATATTTGTATTTGTGCCAATCAGAACTGTCAAATAGCCGATGAAATATTATCGATAACAACTGTTAACAACCGTCAAACGGTGATCAATTGATAAATAAAATAATTTTTTGTTAATTATCCAACAAAATCAGTGTAATATAGTAAAAGTCTTATCTTATATAATCAATCTTAAGGGATAATACGGCTAAATAATGTATGTTAAAGGTTATCGGTGTATCGCATATCTAGCCGGTTAACAGCACTGTTAAATGACACGTATTTCTGAGCTTTAGGTTAACAGCTATTGTAAATTATTTGCACATTTAGCTTGCCTGCTAATACAAATTTTGGTTTTAATTGTCAATATTAGAAAAAGAATATTAACAAAATTTTATATTGTTAAATTTGGCCACGAAGCAATTTTTGGTTCTGTTAATAACATTAAAGCGAAATGTAAGTCTAACAGACGGACGAGCAAACAGCAAATGGCAAAAAATAAACAAAAAGCTACAAAAAAACAAACATATATTTTGAAATAATTACAACATTGAAGCCAAGCTTTCGTCTTGTAAATATCTAACGTGTTGACTGATGCAAACAACATAAAACCTCCAACATTATACGGCTGTGGCGTATTAGAACACAAAGAACAAGTCAACGTGGACGGACAATAACCAAATTGAAATCCAGGCAAAATCCCAACGGAACCTTAATTGTTGAACAAAATTGGAAAGACATCAAATCAACAGAACATTTTTATGTCAACCAGCTTTGTTGTACGTCGAGCACAAGGCAAACACTTTATTTATAATATATATACACCGTAGCTTATGCAAAATTCTTGATACCTTCAATATATTATGCTTATTAATCGTGCGCTATGCCAAAGTTGGTTAACACAGGTGACGTAAGTAAGGATGCCCATAAAGGAGGCACAGGCACGCCCACATTTTAAATTCATAAATCTATGTTGTTATTTTAGTTATCGATTTCATATTGGAAATGGCGCAACACGTTTTCAAGCATGCCGCCAGAGTTTCTATGTACAAAGATGTGGATCAGGTCAGCCGGTGCGTCATTTCCATGCACAGAAGGCCAGATGGAGTAGCATAAAGTCACCTGTCATCACACCTGTTGGCGATGGCGGCGGCCATGTGCCAATGAACAATGTAATCAAGGCGATCGCATTTACCGGCGCAGTAAGTGAAATGCTCCATGCGCCGCTCTCATCAATTATTTGTTATTGATTTGAACTTTTGTTTAGTTCAGCCTCGGTTGCTTTGCAGGTGCCACAATTGTTGAATACGAGAATACGCGTAGCATGATCCTCTCTAAGGCGAAACAGGCCCGATTCGGCTGGATGCAGAGTCGCTCGTTGATGGACCGTGATAGCTGGTCGCAGTTAAAGAATGACATTAAACGTTTTTGGGACTCCCTGTCGCCCGGTGATAAAACCTTTGCGCCGATCTTGGTTTGCAATCTGCTCGCATTTGGACTGTGGCGTGTTCCATCGATGCGAAATATGATGATGACATACTTCACTTCAAATCCAGCAGCACGTAAATGAAACCCTTAACTGCTTCACTAGATTATCCCATTTAATTCGCTACTTTAACTCTGCAGGCATTGTGTGCTGGCCCATGTTCCTCTCTACATTCAGCCACTACTCGGTTATGCACATATTTGCAAATATGTATGTGTTGCATAGCTTCTCAAATGCTGCCGTCTTATCCATGGGCAAGGAGCAATTCATGGCCGTCTACCTCAGCGCTGGCGTTTTCTCCAGCTTGATGAGCGTGCTCTACAAAGCGGGAACGCGACAGCCCGGCATGTCACTAGGAGCGGTGCGTCTCATATAGATAAAAGAGCAATTTATATTTATTCATTTATATTTATTCAAAATCTCATATACTTTAGTCAGGTGCCATTATGACCGTCCTGGCCTACGTCTGTGCACAATACCCGGATACACAACTGAGCATATTGTTCCTGCCAACTGTCACGTTCTCTGCGGGAGCTGCAATTAAAGTTATCATGGGCATCGATTTTGCCGGCTGCGTCATGGGCTGGAAATTCTTTGATCATGCGGCACATTTAGGTGGAGCTCTGTTCGGCATGTGAGTAACAACATAAATATCATGTCCTCCATTTCAAATATTTGAAATCTTTTCAATGTCTTCCAGCTTTTGGGCGAACTATGGCGCGCAGGTGTGGGCGAAACGCATTAGCTTACTAAATTACTATCACGAGCTGCGCCGAACGAAACAAAAATAATAATGATATAACATTGGGTAATCAACCGAGGATCATCATCGTTCAGCCTTTGAGGCTCGTGTTATCATGTGTTAGGAGGTTCAATAAAATCCACAAATTATAATTTAAACAATTTCAATGTGATTGTTCTGATCGATTGCGCTGCAATCGTTGGGTGATCTCTTTACGCCTCTGCAGCAGCTTCTCCCGCAACTCTTGGGAATTCTCTCTTTCGGGTGCATAGGAAATGTGCAAAATTCCTCCAAAAAACTGTTTTGCATCCAGTTGGCGTTTCGCACGACGGGCGTGCTCCAGACGCTCAAATTGTGCCGCATAGACGTCTGTAAAGGCCTCCAATTCAACTGTAAACATAAGATACTATAGTTAAACTACATAATATGGAAATCTTTCTAAATCACTTCGTCCTGCCATTTCGCTGGTAACACAGCTGAAGGAGCGCAGTTTCCCGAATTGTTGCAGTTTATTCTTTATTTCAGAGTGTAGATTGACTTTTGGCACACCAAAAATTAATATATGCCGCGACTCACTGGCAACCGTATAAACCTACAAATTATTCAATAATTAATTTATAATTATTTCAGTTTTTGTTTCCCTTACCTTCACAGCTTTAAGTTCGCGTCCTTGCCTATATTGCAGCCGTGTTGTACAATACGCCAGACGTTTATGATGTGATAAGGGCGTTTCCTCCATATTAATATATATTTACTGTAGGTTAATTGTTAAATTTTATAAAAACATTTCAAATGCCGCTACTAAACTCTCCGTTGCTCAGCCGGTTTGACTGTGCTCAAAGATATGCTAATCGGCGACTTTTACAGCACTTCATTTGCTGCTCGATATCGGCTGTAATATTAATGTATCGAAATATGAACTCATCTCTAAATATTCTCAAATTTTTATTAAATTTGAAATAATCGTTTTAATAGGTAAAAACCCAATAGATTTGTTAAACATTCAGTATTTAACTGATCTATGACTACTTTTAATATTCTGCTTTTAGCTAGCGAATCAAACACTAATGTAGATGTGCTGTAAAATTATTGTATATTTTATTTGTATGTATTAAGTTTTAATTTTAATACAATTTTAGTTGGAAATGGTTTTCTGTTAAAAGTTTTTAGCTGCTCTCTGCTGCGGTGCCCACCTGTGGACCGGCTTTTTTTTAGCTCTGTGATAATTTTCTAACACTATATTTTGGCATTCACTTGTTGTGTGCACACAGCTGTTCAATTGGAGTGAACGCGGGAAAGGAAAACTGTACGCGAGAAATGCGCGCGCTGCTTATAAAGAAAAAGTGCTATTGCGCTGAATTCATTAACTTCTGAGCCATTGAACGATTTACAACTGAGTGCATCAGAACTTAGATAACAATTAAACTAGCTTTTATTTCGTGATTTAGTAAAAAATAAATAGAAGAACATGTCTCAATCTCAAGTAGCCGGCAAAGAAAACATTACGGACAACATGGAAAAGTTCTCGCTAAAGGTGACAAGACACGTTCTTACGCAGTTTGTATATAATATATTTAATCATATGTACATGTACATGTGGCTATATTGTATGTCATTTGCATGTTATTTAAATCAATGCAAATTAAATTACGGCTATTTATAAATTCTTTCTCTTGTCTACATTGTTTTTTCATTTTCCTTATTATTTTTTTTTTTTAAGCAGAGCCCAAGCAAGAAAATTCTGACGGAGAACGCCAACAACGTTCGCAAGATGTCGATCACCCCTGAAGATAATGCCAAAGATCAAGCCAGCAGCAATGGTAAGACTGAGCAATCTATAATGAATAAGATTGCTGCGCCATTCGATCCCTCACTGGAGCCGCTGCTCAAGGAGAATCCGCGTCGATTCGTAATCTTTCCCATACAATATCATGATATCTGGCAGATGTACAAGAAGGTATGTATGTTCAACACATGTACAGAAGTGGGTTGTGTTAGTGTTAGAGCTTGATGAAATAGGCGGGAAAATTTATGATAAAGCGCGGTAAAAAGTGCTCACGTCGCAGACGTGACTGATTGTTATAATAACATATAATATGTATGTATGTGTATTTGTATTCAAGTACCTGGATACATACATACATATGTACATAAATACATGATTCTTAATCCTAATAAATGGTTTTGATTCTGCAAACGCAGATTAAAGAAATTGAATATTGATTTGCTTACATATTACGTTTAATATTTGGAATGTTTTCGGCTATTATCATATAATATGAAAACTTTTGTATAAATACATAGGCATATACACACACTTGCATACATATTCATATACCTAAGCTTATTTGTATATACATACATATGTACGCCATATATCCGCTAACATACATACTGGTATGTGTGTACTCATGTACAGTTAGACCGTCCTAGCTCTTTAACATTCAATATAAGGTAAACATGCAAGCATCAACTATCAAGATACATATGTATGTATATAAATAAGAATAGATATATATCAGCATTTAATTAGCTGGAATT